GCCCCTCTGATCATACTTAAAAAAAAAAACTAACAGCAACCACCTGCACAGCCCAGATCAGTCTACAGCACTGTGCACATCTCTTGTCCCACCTAATGCCACCTCACAGTCAGCGTAAGGAGGCGACGACAACTGTTCAAAGAATGAGCTGAGTCCCGGACCCACATCACAACAGCAAAGAGGGCCCCATGCCTACCAGCCAGCACACGCACACACACGCACACATACACACACACACACACACACACACACACACGACTAACTGGTGCTAAGCCTGCTCTTGAACCTCACTTTCTTCAGAGACCCCTTCAGATGCTCTCCCTCCCCGTATTCGCAGCCCCACACTTACCCTTCTTGACGGCATTGACCTCCAAGGGTTTCAGCCCCAACTTTGCCCGGAGTTTACTGAGAACGAGAGATACAAGTATTAGGAGCTGTAAAAAAAAAAATAGGGAGCACCAAATCCATTTTTGGAGAGACCAGGGGTGAAAACAGGATAGGACTAAGTGGTCCCAAGGGTCCCAAACACAGGGCCTGATTCAGGCTGACCAGGACAATGGGAAGGGCACTGGCCTCCATGAGGCCCGGCCTGCCCCAAACCTGTGAAATGCCCTCTTTTCTCTTGAGCCTTTGTGTCCTCTTCTGTAACTCAAATGGTTGGCTGAGATGATTTATATGGCACTTCCAGTTCCAATCAGAACACTTTACTGTGTGAGAGCCTCCCCAGACAGCTGCCCCAGAAGCTGCCCGTCCCAAAAGGAAAAAACAGAAACGTAAAGGAAATAGTACTTACTTGGTTTCCTCGATGCTGAGTGACGAGGCATCTCCTGAGCTAGTTTTGGAGCTGGCAGCTGGAACAAGAAGCAGAGCTCAGGAGCTGAACATAGGACAGAGAAGCCACATCCTTGGCTCCAGCTGTAGTGCCAAAGATGAGGGCCGCTCACATGCACCTAGGCCTGTGGGGACACCAGCCTGCAGCAGGCTTCCCCCACCCCGGAGCTCCCTCTACCCATGCCCCAGTCTCTGAGAATGGCACCTCTACACACCTTTCTTTCCTGATCCACTTTCCTTTTCTGCCACCTCTCCACTTTCACACATTCTGTTTTCCACCTGCACTGCCCTCTCTGGCTTCACTCTGATTAACAAAACCCTATCCAAATGCAACAATCAAATGCCACTTCCTTCATGGAGTCCTGCTGGAATATTGATCAGAATGAACTGCTCTCCCCTGAACTCCAAAGCATGGTCACAGTCACTCTGGATCTGTTTCTTCTCACAGGGCAGGGATCGTGTCAGCAGCATGGCTGTGTCCTCTGTATAATTCATGCAGTCAAGAAACACACTTATTTGTGCCTGCTTCGTGATGGGTTTTGAAGACACAGAGATATAGGAGCATATGTAACCTCCTCCACTCACCTTACAAATACCAAATAACTTCACTAAACACCACAGACAGCAGCTAGACACAACCAGATGGAGCTCCCCTAGCCAGCTGCCACTATGTACTCTTTCTTCCAGCACACTCACCTCACAAGCTACCTCTCCCCCTTTTATCCCACCTGGACCCTGTATCCCAACTCCTCCAGGCTCTCTCCAAGGTCACCAGCCTCCTTTCTAAATCCAAAGGATACTTTTCAGCTCTGGTTTTGCCTGATCTCCCATGGTGTGTGACCCTGTTGATCATTCCACAGATCCCATGACACAGAGTCAATGGATTTCCTGCTTTGGGGGATATCCTACCTCCTTTTCTGTAGCATCTGGCTCTGCCTACTACTAAAAGATTGTCATTTCTCAGGTTCTACTCCCAACCCTGGCTTCTCACTCCTCACTCTCTCAGGGGACTTCATTTGCCAACTAAATACTCATGACTCCCAAATTCCTCTATCCAGCCCAAATTCTGGGTTTCTCCATGCACATCAAATGCAACAATCTCCCCAAAACTGAATTCATCTCCTTCCCAAAATTTGCTTCTCTTCCAAACGCCTCAATTTCAGTAGACCACAGTACCACCCACCTGGTCACTCAAGCCAAAATTCAAAGAGGCATCCTCTATTCTTCTCCTTCCCACCCTCATCCAAATGCTAAGTTCTGTTACTTCCTCCTCCAAAACACCTCTCCAATCTGTCCGCATCTCTCCATCCCGTTGCTGCTGCATTGGTGCAAGGCCACCATCAGCCCTCACCTCACCTCTAGTGTTGACTGTCCTTGACCCTGTTCTCAACACAGTGATCTTTGCAAAACATGAATATGACCACCTCACTCCCCAACTCAAATTCATGACTCCCCACTATTAGCACAAATAAATTTCTTAACAGGGCCTGCAGGGCCCTTTGTGTTGGATCCCTGCCTATTACAGCCTCCCATCTCTACTATGAACTCTACACAACTTGCCCAATACTGGGTTTCTTCTTGTCTCTGCACATGCTGGTATCACTTCATTCATTCATTCAATGCATTGACTGAGAGCCTATGATACGCCAACTGAGGAAAACAGAGAGTATCTCCATCTTCACGGAACTTTAGCAGAGAAAGACACTCTTTAGTCCCAAATAACCGTAGAAAGACCGTTTAATAAATGCTAATGAAGAGAGCCTAGGGATGCCTCGACCTGGCGAGCTTGGCGTCAGTACCCAGGGCCCACCACCCCGGGACCTCCCGTCGCCACGCCACCCGCACAGGCCCCACCCCTCACCGGCCTCATAGCCGTCATCTCGCTTCTCCCGCTTCACGCGCCGTTCAGAGGGCTCTGTCTGGCTGCGCTCCCGCCCGTGCGTGCCGCTGCGGGCCTCAGCTTCGGTCCCGCGCCGCCCGCCCCCGCGCTCGCCTCCACGCTCCCGGCTTCGCTTCCGTCTTTCGCCGCCACTGCTACCGCCGCCTCCACTCCGGTGCTTGTGTTTTTTGTGCTCCCGGTGCCGAGGTAGCTGCTCAGTGGTGCCCCCGGTGCTGGCCGCTGCCGTAGTCCCGGCCGCCTCCTTCTCCCCGCGGTGCTTCTTTGACGACCCCATGGTGGTCAGTCCACCCTGAGCCCGGCCGCCGCCGAGCCCCGACGACGCAAAATGGGAACACTTCCGGGTCGCCCGGGCTGCGGTCGTATTGCCGGAAACCAAGAGAGGCTGCTTCCGTCGTTTGCCTCGGAGGCGGCCCCAAAGGCTCATGGGAAGGCCGGGATCGGCGCCCGACTGCGCGTTCGCGGCCGCCTCGGGCATGGTGGCCGTCTTTGAGCAGGTGGTCCAATTGCGCATGCGCTTCTCAAGGTTCGCGGCCCCGGTCTGGGAAAGACCGCATGATAAGAACTTTAAGGACCTAGGGGCCACCTAAGCCAGCAACCCCGGAGGTGGAAGCTCCTTCTAGCCTCCCTCCGCCTGCATACCCTCAGCCACCGGAAGCTCGCTGCCTGATAGACTTTGTGTGGGCAGCGCCCACCGCTCCAGTAGGCTTCCTCCTAGTGGACTCCCCGCGGTCCTGGCTTCATCAGGTGTTGGACGACGTAGCATGTTCTTTCCCTGAGACTCCGAGCTCCACATCCCGGCCTCCTCCCAAACCCTACTAGTACTGCCAGCAAACGGTGACTTCCCATGTTTCCCGGATTGGATTTTTTAACCTGCGCTCTGTAAACTGCTAAGGAGCTCCAGCTGAGCTTCTGCATGTCTGTGAACCCCTTGAAATTGAATGTAAAATCTGGCACATCCGTGTGTGTGAGCTGCTTTTTTTTTTCATCCTTGAGGAGACGGGCTCTAACTTGAAATTACTTAACGTTAAAAGCTCAGTTCACCCAATCCCTCCTGACACCCCCACCTCAGAGTTTCTCGATCTGGCAGCCCATCTGTTATAGTGTGATCAGGCACCCATTTAAAGGTCTGTCCCCCTCCCACACAGGACTGGGAATTCCCAAAGGCAGAAGCCATTCTGTCCTATAAACTTGAATTTCTAGGACCCAGCATTTCTAGAAGGAGTTGCAGCTGTTGCTCTTAGAGATGCCCCCTCTTCAGGAACAGAGGCAGGGTCTTGTGTGCTGGGAGGGGGCAGCCAGAACAGCCAAAGTTCTTGGGGGATGTGGGGACAAGCTAAGAGTGCTGCCTACACACCTGCCACCGCCTACTCCCAACCCGCATCACAGCCTCTTCCCACCACACCAGAAATCCCACACTGTATTTTCCACAAAGCATTTAATTTTTATCTCGGGGACTGGGCTCTGGGTCTGGGCTTGGGGTGGAGTGCCTGTCCGGCTGGCTGCTGGTGGGTTCTGTCTTTAGGGGGCTCTGAGAAGAGTGCACCATTCTTGCCCCCACTGACCCATGGCTCCCTTGAAGATGAAGACACAGATAGAGGCCACTGGGCTATGCAGCTCCCCACCCACCCCTGCCCCCATGCCCAAGGAGACCTGGGCTGTAGGAAGGGAAACACCAACATCACTGACGTCGTGGGTTCAAATCTGGCTCCTATGCTGTGTGACCCTTGGCAAGTGACTTCCTCCTGAGCCTCGTAACCCCTGCTCTGCACCACCATGTGTGAAGTGACTAGTATGGCACCAGCCATGATGGGGGCTTGGTGTGTGGCCGCTCAGGTGGCTGTAGGTTCCCAGATGGCTCTGCTGCTTATTCATCCTAAGGCCTTGGGCAAGATCCTACCCCTCAGGTCCTTAGTTTCCTCTTTGGAAATAGGGAAAATAACCCCGGCCCAGCCTTCCTTGGGTGGTGGAGGACAGGGCCTGTGGAAGGCCCTGCTGACTGCTAAAGCTAGACAGAGTCCTCTAGGTCAGAGAGTGGACAGGGCAAGCCTGAAGCCCAGATCCAGGTGGATCGATGTGGCTGCCCATGGAGTCTTTCCCAGGACAGCAAGACACCTGGATGAGACCCTGCGGGGCAGAGTGCTGGCGACTCTGCCCTTTCTCCCTACAGATGGGCCTTACCTTAATTTCTTGGGGGTACACTCAGTTTCCCCCTTTCCTGCCTGAGCCAGCAGCTGCTTCTCATCCAGTCCCAGTGCCGACAGCACCTGGGAGAAGCGCCGGGTCACAGTAAGCCGGGCATTGGCCTGAAGAGAGAGAAGAGGGGTTCCCTGCTTCACCAGGGCTGCCCAGGTCACGGTGAGGCTCTGATTACTGCAGGGGTCCCAGGGCTTCCAGGTAGGCAGCAGCCTGGGGACCCCAACTCAGGGGATCCACTCCCACCTCATCTCCCTACCCACTCAGCCAGTGAGAAGCTCTGTCCTCAGGGAGGCCGCATGCTTGCCCAGGTGCTCGCCTCACCTGCATGGCCTGCTGGAACAGGTAGGGCCGGGCCTGCACCCTGTGGCGGATGCCTTGCAGCTCTGCCTGGTACTCAGCAAAGCGCTGTCGCTCCTGGTGCCTACGGGGAGACAGGCCTCTGGGCAGCTAACCATGGACATGAGCCACCCCTCCTGAGCCTACTCAGCCTCACTACCTCCTCCCCGAGCTTTACAAAACCGTTCCCTTCCCATCCTTTGCTAGGACTCCTCTGAGGCCAGGGTGGGGTGGGAATTATTTGCCCCATTTTACCCATGACACACCTGAGGCTCAGGAGGGTGGAGGGGCTTGTTCAAGATTGCACAGCTGGGAAGTGAGGGTCTGAGCCCAAGTCTGCAGGCTGTGCTCCTCCCAAGGGAGCTGGGGATGGGGCAGCACTGGCTTCTGAGCAACAGGACATCTGCTTGCACAGACTCTCCCCTCCCCACGTCCACCCCACACCTGCCTACACTGCGCCCTTGAGGAGGGAGCTGTGGCTGTTGGCTGTGACTCTGGGCAAGGCCCCATTCTGGGCTCTTGGGATCAGTTTTCTTCCCTGTGCTCTAGCTGGGATTGGACAAGCTTGCCAGCATTGTCCGTGGTTCTTATAATCAGATAGCTTAGAAAACGGGACAGAGGAACTAAAGAAATGTGTTGCAAATGAAAGAACACATCCCAGAAAGATCCAGTTTCCACTGAGGAAGCACAATCCCATTTACAAAAACCCAGGTTGTGCTCTTGTCAGGAATCTCCTCAACAAGCTGCACATCCTTGCAGGGGCCCTCTGGCCACGTCACACACGGGACTGGGCATCCTGTGCAGCACACGAGAGAGGCCAAGGGGTGTGGTGGCAGCACCCCCAGACAGGACAGGAGGGGAGAGGCAGACGAGACTCCGAGACTTGTGCTGGGCACTCTGGCAAGTGTGCTGGGCCCCATGAAAACACACAAGCTTGCTGGGCCAGGCCTCTTATCGATGTGCCAGGGAAGGAACCTTCCTCCATTCCAGAAAAAGATGGCGGTGGTTATAGCTCAGTGGTAGAGCGTGTGCTTAGCAGGCATGAGGTCCTGGGTTCAATCCCCAGTACCTCCATTAAATAAATAAATAAACCTAATTACCTCCCTCAGCCAAAAATTTTTTTTAAATAAAGAAAGAAAAAGATGGACTTGAAAATGAACAGAAGTCACTGCAAAAAGAAGCCTTCACTGTTCCAGAGGGAATTTCCAGCAGATACGAGTAGGAGGAGGAGGAAACATGAGCTGCAGTCAGTCTCTGGCTTGCCGTGAGGTCATGCACATTTTTCCTGCTTGGTTCTAGATGCTATTTCTGTTAGAATTGAGAGGAAGCCCGTGTCTTGGAACCCAGGCGAGAAAGGAAGCAGTATCTGTGGATGTCAGCCTTGTCCATTATCCCTGAATAAAAGGCAGGCACATCGCCTCCCTATCACAGGGCGATCTTTTTTGTGCCCGCCCTCCTGGGCAGGGAAGAGTCTCCAGTGCAGCTCAGACAGAGCAGAGTTCACACGCTGGAAGGGCTGACAGACCCCCGTGGGAAATATCTGCTCCCAAGTAGAAAATGAAAGGAGTGTGTTGGAAACACTCCTCTCACTGACATCTGGAGTCTGACCCTACACCTCCTGCCTTGTGAAAAAAACAATGGACTTGAGATCCAGCAGGGAGAAGGCATCTTTCTGGTCACTGACCTAGGATTCCTTTAAACACACTTGACCTCTCAAACCTTGGTTTCCTCATCTGCAAAGTTGAGGGTGCTAAGGCTGAGCCTCAGAGAGCAGACGATCAGAACCCCACTGAGTCCTCAGTGGCCTCACTGCAGGGCAGGAACCCTCTTGTCTCTTGGCTGCTTTGACCAAGTGCTTCTTTGCAGATGAAAGGGCTGCCTTGGTGCCATCTGCACCCAGTAGGTGCTCAGTGTCCATGGCATCAGTGATCATATTTTATTTACCTGTCTCACTAGCTTGGGGGAAGATGCTGGTGCACTTTATCTGAAGGTTGGGTATCTGAGCACTCTGAGGCAGCATAGCACGGTGGCTGCCTGGCTGCCTGGATTGGAATTCCAGCTTTGCCCCTCACCTGTGACCTTTGACAGATTCTTTAAGTTCTCTGAGCCTGCATTTCCTCATCTATAAAATGGTGGGAGTGGTGATAATACCTAATTCATGCATGCACCTCTTGTGAGTCTATAAAAGATTTGCTTTTAAATATGAGTTTGCTTTTTTTTTAATGATCAAAATGTAGGAAGCAAATGAAACTGATGACTCTTCACCTGTCCATGAACGTGGCTGCCTCCAGGAGCGCGATCCCAGGCACTGTTCACACACTCTGTGGACTGTTTCTGTAATATCTGAATTTTTACAGTAAGCACGCCTGGCCTTTGAAATCAGAAAAGTAAGATTTGAAAGTGTGGTAATGCATGTAGAGCATTTTAACCTTAAGCCTTGACAGCTGCAGGGATTGTTACTATTATGAATGACCTTAGCCCTGCCCCTTCTCCTCCGTGCCTCAGTGTCTCCATCTGTAAGGTAGTCTGGCCTGCCTGCCTCTGTGCCGGCAGCACTGTGGGAAGGTGAGGGCGGGGTCTCCTTGGTCCTTCAATCTGACACCTGGCAGTGCCTCCCTGCCCTCTCTCCACCAGGCCCTCTGCAGCCCCAGGCTTCCTACCTCAGCTCCTCCAGCTTGCGCTGGGCAGCCCCCGGCCCCCGGCTCCCTCTGGGTGCGTAGACTGCCAGGCAGCGAGCCACCTGCTGCTGCACCTGCTGCTCCCGGGCCCTCCGCAGCTCGGCCTGCTGCCGCTCCTCCTGCTGCTGCCGCTCCCAGGCCCACAGCAGGCTTCTTGGGTGGGGAGAGGAGAGGAAGAGGGATGGGAGACTTTTGCAGGGTGCAGGAACCTCGTGGAGGGCCAGGGGCAGGGAGGGGAATGTGGGAACGTGAAGGGAGGGCTTGCTGCAGCCCCGAGAGCCAGGACCCTGGGGAATGGGGTTTGTCACGGAAGTCAGACAGGATGGGGGCTTCCTCTGGGGACTCAGCCCTCCAGCATACCTCAAGACCTTTCTCTACTCTTCCTGGAAGTCTCCTGCCTACCCCACGCAGCGGTGTGCCCCAGCTTGGAACATTCTCAGCCTTGTGGAGCTCAGTGCACACATCCAGGACCTCACCTGTATCACCACTTATATCACCTCCTTGAGGGGAGAGGCCAGATCATCTCTGTGACCCCCTTGTCAGGTAGGAGCAAGGATAATGCCTCTTAGTTTGAGGGACAAACAGATGGATAAATGGATAGGCAAGAGAAACAAATGGTCGTGGGATCTACGGGTGGATGAAGGGATGGATGATTGGTGTGGATGGTTGAAGAGACAGCACCTCGATCCACCTGGAACATTCTTCCCCCAGATCTCAAGACCAGCTCCTTCTTGTCCATCAGTCTTTGCTCAAAGGTCAGGGAAAGGGAGACCTCAGCACCCCATCTACCTCCCAGGGATTGTCCATCTCTAGCTATCTTGTTCATTTCTTTATTAATTATCCTTCTTCCCAAGTAGAATGTAACCCTCATGAGAGCAGGAAGCCTTGTCTGTCTCCTTCACCACCAATGTATCCCCAGCACCTACAACAGCGCCTGACATAGACAGAAACTCTATATTGGGGAATTCACACATAATTGAATCACGGTTAAAAGATGGACAGATAGACAAAGGGCTAGATGCAGACATTCACTCAGCCTATATTCATTGAGCACCAACTATGTGCTGGGTCCTGTTAGGGCAAGGGGAGGGGCTATGATCAAAAAGATCTACCACCTTCCCTTGGGGAACCCTCAGTCTGTATATAGGGGTGGATATACAGCCCAGCACCCCAGTGCAATACGATCTGGCAGGACCTCTGAGGGAGGTGAGCACAGAGGAGAGCTTCCTGGAGGGGCACTGGATTTGGGAGCTGAAAGACAAATCTGTCAGCTGGGTGAATGGTGGGGGCAGTCCTGGGAGAGTAGGGACAGCCTGGGGCATTCTGGTCACTCTGACCAGCTGGTGTGGGAGACAGGAGCCTCCTGACCAAGCAACCCGGGCTTTGTCCCAAGGCCAGGGAAGCATGGAAAGATCTCAAGCAGGGATGACAGGATAAGGTGCTATCAGAATGCTGAATGCCTTCTCACCTACTACTTCTAACAGGTCACCAAGGTCCACTGAACCAGCCTCTAAATACTTTTTAAATAAATCACCCTCTCTTTACTCACATGGCCACCTGATTCAGGCCATTATAGTCTGTCAGCTGACACTGCCAACAGCCCCCACCCCCAGTCATCTTCCCCCTCTGCTCCCACTGTCTCTTGTTTAAGCCCCAAGCAGAGTAATGATCTAACTCTTCTGCCATCATTGCTGTTTTGCCCATCTGTCATCTTTTCCAGGAGACCTTGAGCTTCTTAGAGCAGAAACCAAGTCTTTTTGCCTTTATATCGTGAGAACCTATGAGCAGATACCTGATACATGTTGCAGTAATCACTTAGCTAATAGATTAATGGATGGTTAGAAGATGGGAAATTAATGGAAAGTTGCTTGTGTCAATAAATGGCCAAGCAGATGGACGGATGGATGGACAGATGATTGGATGATCAGAAAGACTGGTGAGTGGACAAAGGAAAGAATGAATGAGAGGACGAAAGACTGAGTCTCTTGGGGAACTAGCTCCTTCTCTACTCCCTGCACTTCATTCCCACCCTCCTTCTCCATCTTACCTGGTGGCCTCCTGTCGTTTGTGGAAGGTGCGGTTAGGAAAGTTGGCAAACAGGAAAGTCTCGTCACCTCTCAAGGCCTGGGCCTTCCTACTGCGGCCAGAGGCCTGAACGACTGCCCCTAAAGCCTTCCAGGGCTGCTTCTCGGTGCCTGTCAGCAGAGGGACGAGTCAGGGCACGCCCTCTCTCCTGGCCCGTTGGGCAGTCCCACCCCGCACCTAGAGCCCCGGCAGCCCTGTCTGAACGCCTGGCCCGGGTCACTGGCTTTGTGGGGAACCCGGGCACGGAGCCCCCCCACTCACCACAGTCCAACTCCTGCTGTAACTGCCTCTGCAGCTTCTCCAGGTCCCATGACCTCTCCAGTTCCTTGGCCCTTGACTTCCTTCTCTGCGGCCCCTGCAGGTTGTTGGAGCTGGAGCTGCTCCCCTCGCACCGCAGCTCACTCTCATCTGAGGCCATCTCACTGGAATTCTGCCCCTTTCTTCGAGAAGCAGCCCTCTGTCTGTGGGGGGCTCTGGGTTCCCTCTCCTCGGACTCCTCGGTACCTGGGGCTTCTGGCTCAGTGGCCTCCTCAGACCCCAATCCCGAGCCAGACCTCTTCCCGGGCGGCTGCTGGCCACACTCCCCCGGCGGCTCCAGCTCTTGACTCTTCCCTTTGCCAGGAGGGATGGGGATGCAGCTGCAGGCGCTGAACTGTCTCCTCTCCAGGTTTGGCACCTCTGTCTTCCAGCAGAAGCCGTGGGCCTCCGGAAGGTTGGCCATGGACTTCGGCCTGGACTTGTGCTGCTGGACCGCCGGAGGCACAGGCAGTGCCTGGTGGCCAGGGGCCGAGGCGGAGCCAGGCTGAAGCGGAGCCCGGCCATCCATGGTAGCACTCTCCCAGGCCCACTGGAAAGGGAAGGAGGGCTTCCGAGGCGGAGAGGGGAGGAGACTGAGGAGGGAGAAGGCAGGGTAGGGTTAGCTTCCAGTGCCAGCCCCCAGGGGGCCTGACCCCCGCATCCCTCCCATCCCACAGCTGCTTACTCCTCAGCCTCAGCGGAGCCTTGCCCTTTCTTGTTCCGGCTCCTGAGCCTCCGGTCCTTCTTTGCTGTCTCCCCTGCACTCCGAGACCTCTGCTGCTGGCCCTGAATTGCACCATCACTGCTCCCGAGACTGCCCTGGGCAAAGACAGGAGAGAAGGCCCAAGCTCTGAGCAGCCTCCTGGACCACCTCACACCTCCCCCAGGGGATCCTCCTCTTCTGAGCACCCTGGCTGGCCCCTCAGGGCCCTTGTTACCACCAAAACTGACTGATCAACCTGAATTATCAGCATTAGAATAGCAACAGCTGCTATTTACTGAGCACCTCCTGGGTTAACTCATTTCACCTCCCCAGGGACCCTATGCGCTAGTTACTCGCTATCACCTCCATCAGGCGGATGAGAAAACTGGGGCTCAGAGAGGTGAAATCACTTGACTGAGGTCACACAGCCTGTAAGTGGAGCCAGGACCTGAACGCGTTGAGTCTGTCCCAAGAGCCCAGATTTGTCACCATTGCACTGTACTGCTTTTGGGCCCTGGATAGCTCTTTTGAATGCCCCATAGGGCCCTGGACTTGCTAAGCCAAGGTGGGAAAAACTCATTATTTTTCCTGAAACCATGATCCTCCTGCAGTGTTTCCAAAATTGCTCCATTAGAAGCCTGGGACATCCCGGGGCATCTTTATCCTCTATCCTTTAGGCCTCCCTATAGTCCCTGCCCACCTCAGGCCTCCCTGTCGCTCATCTGGGCCTCAGCTCTGGTCTCATGGCTTCTCAAGGGCTTCTCTCAGCCCTGGCCTCCCCTACCCCAGAGAGCCAGCCTGCCTCTGGGCAGTTGGCAGTGTCCTCCCCCAACCCCCAGAACCTTCCCTCACCTGCTCAGTTTGCTGGATGCTTGACAGAAGCTTGAGCAGACCTACCGACGTCCCTGGAGCCTGGAGCCGTGTGTCTTGCCCTGGTCTCCCCAATGTGGTCCTGACCACGGTTGGTGGGTGTTCAGCATATTGGTGTCCTGCCCCATACCTCCACCCC